AAAATTTTTTGTAAAAAAAAAAAAAAAAAAAAAAAAAGTTACCACAATGTCATTAAAAGAACCAAAAATGCCAAGCAATCCAAAAAACAAGCAAAAGTAGTTGTTCACCTAAATGATGGCATAGCTAGAAAGCTTTTTAAACATTTTAGAGACAATGTTCATACAGGTTGAGTAACTCTTATATAAAATCCTTGGCACCAGAACTATTTCACATTTCAGAGGTTTTTTTATATTTTAGAATATTTGCACGGATTATGCTGTTTAAGTATGGCCAATGTGAAAATCAAGACAATCAAGACCCCCCCCCCACTTTAGAATTAGTTTGAATTTCAAGTTTTTGGATTAAGGATCTGTAATATGTTTAAGTTTTTTTCATTTTTATTAGTACATCATGAGTACATTCACTATGTGTAGTCAGTACAGGTACATAATATACTTAATTCTTTTAACTGCTCTGATCCCCTCCCGAACCTGTAGTATATTTCTAAGTATAAAAAGAAAAAAAACAGGTTGTTCAGAATGTTTTGTAAAGACATTTCATACATTACAGAAAAGCTACAGAGTAAACAAAGCACAGCAAAACAGTTCAGTGGGTGAGAAATATTAGTTGACCTTTTTAACGCATATCTGTTTTTCCTATTCTTTAATATGTACATGTATAACTTAGTAAAGGCAAAAAGAGAGAAACAATACAGGGTGGAATTAAACAGATTCTTTTCTTTACTATCCTAAGGGAGATTCGATGATGAATTGAGCTTTGCCTTTGAGAGAGCTGAAGGTGTAGCTCAGGTGGGAGTGTGTTTGCCTACCAGGCACGGGGCCCAGCACCAGAGAAGAAGGAAGTACCTGGGTCCTGCATCTGCCACTGCCTTTTCTGTGGCCAACCATTTACCCAACTATGGACTATTATATCCAGTACTGCTAACTACAGCAAGAACCACCTTATAGGAGACCAAAACAAAGCAGAATTATAAAATATGTAACTACAATGTAATGATAAATCCATGCTACAAAATGTACAAAGTGTCAGGTGGACTTGGTGGTACATGCCTATAATCCAGCTACTCTGGAGGCTGAGGCAGGAGTAGGCCAGCACAGGCAACTTCACAGGACACTGTCTAAAAAAATAATAAGAGCTGGTATGTAGCCCCGTGTGAAAGCGCTGGGGACAAAAATGTATAATATATCACGGGATAAGAGGAAAGATCAACTAATGCCAAGAAGGTTAAAGAGGACTTATGAATAAACTAGGCATTAAACTAGGCATTAAAAATGAACAGGATACAGCCATTATAAGGAACACATTATAAGGATTCTCAAACAATTAAAAATAGAACTTCCATATGATCCAGTAATCCTGCTACTGGGTATAAAAACCCAAAGAAAATAAAATTGGCATGTTGAAGAGATATCTGTACACCCATGTTCACTGAAGCACAGAACTGATCTAAGTATTCATCAATGGGTGAATAAAGAAAATCATTATACACATAACATAGTACTATGCAGCTTTAAAAAAGAGGAAAGTCCTGTCATCTGTAACAACACAGACAAACTTGAAGGATAGCATGTTAAATGATCGAGGAACAGAAAGACAAATACTTCATGATCTCACATGCAGAAACTCAAAGAAGCAAGTGAGTAGAATTGTGGTTGGTGGGGGCGTCCACGTGGTGGTGGTGGTGGTGGTGGTGGTGAGAGTTACCAGGCAAGGGGTTCAAGATTTCAGTTACAGTGACGCCAAGCACCCATTGTACAATATAGTGAATACAGTTAATGGCGTTACTGAGGATTACTAAGAGAGTAGATTTTAAGTGCTCTTACCACACACGTGTGCATGCATACTAAGTATGTGAAGTATACTTGTCTTAATTAGCTTGATTTAGCCATTCCATAATGTACATATTTGAAAACAATAGTTTATTACTGCTAAAAATATAGAATCTTCATCAATTAAAAAATAAAGGAAGCGGGGGCACAGTGGCACATCTATAATCCCAGCACCTTAGAGGCCAAGGCATGAGAAAGGCAAATTCAAGGCTAGCCTGAATGACATAGCAAAAATAAGACAAAAGAGAAAAAAAATAACTAAAATAAAATAAAATATCAGGAATTCTGTAAATGCAAAACTCTGGGACACTATGCAAACTCAAGCTAAGAGTAAACACTGTGAGTTTAAAGAAAGGTATGTGGTTCAGTGTGGCCAAAGACAGAGCTGGTTGAAGGATGAAAGTGGCAAGGAAGACACTGTGAAGAACTTACAGCCAGGCCAAGTCCTGTACAGGAGGGTTCGTGCTTCGCATAGTTCTTATACTTAAGGACTGGGATGTGGCTCTATGTCTTAGAAAGCTTTATTGTCTGTGGTAAGCATGAAAATACTATAGGAATAGAGAATGACCAGGGTAGGAGACCCAAGTAAACTGTCACCACTGCGTCAGGTAAAAGACCTGACAGGTAAGCAGACACCACTGCAGAACTATGTTTTATTTATGAGTAAGAAATTAAGAATCTGAACAACATATAAACCTGAAAGATTACATTAACTTGGTTTTACACATTAGGGAATGAAAACCCAGGAATATAAAAAATAACTTGCCCACATTGTAGATGGAAAGCAAGAAGCACAACTCCAGTGTTCTAACTGCGGGATGTGACAGCTCTGTATCTTAAAATCACCAATGAGATGGTGAATTCTTTAATAAGCATTTCTGGTTCCTTAGTGCCAAAAACATACAAGTCAGTGCTGCAGGAACGGAAACAAAAAGTTTCTTCACCAAGAATTCTTTCATTTTTCTATAACACAAAAGTAAGAGTAAGCCATGTATCTCTCAAGCATCAATTCCGTAACAGTAGACATTTTGA